TAACTTTATAAGCCCKTTTATAAACATAGGAAGAGGTCTGTTTACAGTTTTCAAAAATTACAATAACTGTGGAAAGAGAGAAAAAAATGGGAGAGAGTAGAGCAGCCAATCACTCTAAAAAAGCTTCCTGTTTATGTTTCCAAAAAAGCACTTCTATCAGAATCAAAATACGGGACTTTTCCCCCCCATTTCAGTTCAGGCATCTTAYAAACTTGCACTAAGAACTTCTGAAATTTCTAGGCTTCAGAAGTAAGAAAATATGGTAATATGGCTTGATATGGTGGGAAAATATTTCAGTAGGTTCCCTGATAAAGTTATGATATTTCATTTCTCTTTGGATGTTTCTGGTTCAAAAAGAGAATAAAAAAGCTTAATGTACTGATCACGACTGGACCTAACACTGCACCTACTACACAGTTACCATGACAATAACCAAACAGAATACTTCGTGTATTGACAGAGAACAACTTGAGGTTTTGGGGGAAAGAAGGTTCTTTCCCTTAGCTGCCTCCACTCTTTTAAAGATTGTTGAGAGAACAGCTATGAGTAAGGAAACACAAGGGCAGCACTCCTTTTTATCAGGTAGATTCAGAACACTGACAGGCCTTAGATGAGAGGGACCCTACTTCTGTTCTTTTAGAGAGCCAATATTATTAAAAAGAAAAAAAAAAAAACCCAGGCAAAAAATGTATGCAATCTCTAGGCCTGACTCAATTCTTAGAAAACACAAGTTTCTGGCTCCACTTCACCCAGTTAGGAATCAGAGAACATAAGTCTCGCATTTTATCTGCCCACCCTCCACAGTTATCTTCAAAAACCTGAGCTTATAAAACGGTCCTAAACACCTATRCTTAACTAACTGAGCCTCTCCTCCTCCACACATTTGCAGAAGGATATTTTTCCCCTTGAACCTCCAAGAACACACACATAATTTAATTAATTCCTTGATACCAAGACAATARTATGTTCAGTACARCCAGTAACTATAGCTGAACCCTTTTAAAATCCTGACAGTCAGATGAATGCCTCTGATTGTGATGAAACCACAGCATTGGTGTCTATTGGTGTTTAGAATTTCACCATTATGGTGAAAGTTACCCAGATCCCAAAATAACTGGAGCTGGGAAGAATGTAACTATTAATGTGTTTGGCCCAATGTCAGTAATTAATTCTTATGCAACACCTAAGTAGGATACACAGTCACTCTCATACAGCCTTAAGGAAAAACATTTCCTATCTGTTGCTCTCTGCTAGCAGGCATTGCTCGAAAGATGTAAGAAACAATCCCTGTATCAGCGGCAGATTCTCTGCTCATTCAGCAAAAGTTTAAAAYACAAGATGAGATTCATAATGGTTAGATTCTTTCCCCTCAAAAACGGAAGGGTTTTGGGTGCAAGGAGCCCATCTCAGTCCTTTCATTGGACAAAACACAGGCAGAACAGAGCTAGAGGCAAACTACATAAAAAATAATTCTCTAATTTCAAAGAAGTTAACTTTCCCTGAATAGCAAGGTAGAAAAGCTTTGAAAAAATCAGTTTAGCTGCAATTAATGGAGACAAAGGTCTGTTTCCACTGACAAACTAGTGTGACAGCAGTAGCCTGGGACAATCACAGGGAATGTGGTTGCTTCTTTCTTACTTCCCCCCCTGTCCTGCATAGTGAATGATTCCATTACAACTTTTCACTTTTCTTTGCAACAGAACCAGCAAGAAATGAATCAGACATACACACATATCCCACCACTAAAGACTTCCAAGCACTTCAACTCAACAAAAATAAATGAAGGGAAGAGTCCTGCACCCTCTATAGTTATTTGTATTTTCCAGTCACTCCCTGTTTAAAAACTAGATATTCCATGAGCAYACCAACAAAATAATCATTGCAATAAAAATGAAACTAGGACAAAATTGGACCTAATGTGTGTATTATGAAGTAAGAACAAGTCCAAAACAAATGGATCCCATGCAATTTTCATCTTTTTGGCATGTATTTTTCCATATATTTTGSTTCCTTTATGCAACAATTATAAGGTTAGAACAACAAATATTCTGTTTAAATAACCACATGCATGGTGTAACAAGGAAGGTGCAAAAGACTGCTCAATCAAGTAAATATTTTGRTAACATAAAAAAAAGCCTCCACAATCCACCTGCACAAGTAAAGTTTTGACAGGACACACCTCTAAAACATCATACACACAGGCCTTTGTCTATGATAAGCATCATTCTCAAGTTCTGGGATAAATTCTTTCATTATTTTACAGTAAAGTTACTAAGAATTAGGTAAACAGGGAAGAAGGTTCTGGACAGCCTCATTGCTGCTATTTTATGAGCTCAGAGAAAGAAAAATRGTGGAAAATCAAGTAAAGCTCACGACAATTTCTGTGCAAGAGAGACTGCCACTACCATAAAGTATCAATATACAARTCATATAAAGCAGTTCATTGGAATAGACCTAGATGCAAGTTACTCTCTATTCAAATTTGTTGTAATTCAGTCTTCATTTCCACTGCACAGAACCACTCCAGTCTTCCAAGTCTGCATACTAATTTCTACTTCCACCAGCCTTTCTTGGCACAATTCACTGCACACCTTTCCTGCACATAAATTTTTCTCATCTTCATCTGTCAAGATCTGCACATCTCTTAGCACTAATGCCCTTCAGAGACTCTCACAACTCAGATATTAAAATGCCAATTACTTTTTTGTTCCTTGTCTCACCCCCTYGTGCAAGGGCAACCTCTTCTTTTGRAAGACAGAAAACAGACAAATTATTAATATATTTCCCCAATGGTTAAGGGGTAGAGCAAGGAAAAGAGCAATTTAATTAATTTAAAAAGCAATTTAAATACCAAATAAATTAAACTATATTTTCTCTCAATGGGAGACTTTCAGTGCTCAATCTGAGCACTATCAAGTCCAGAATATAGTGGCAGATTGTACACAACCTAATGGATCTACATTGACATGAGAACTCAAATTTTATATGAAGTACTTACATTCAGCTGTTACTCATCTGTTTTTTTTTTCTTGGCAATGTTGTCTCAGCTGGCTCTTAATTGAGAGCACTRCTTTTCAGACCTGCACTTCTCAGGCTAGGAGCACAATACTGAGTTTAAAAATCTAGTCACCTACTATTTTGCATGTCCATTTTTCCCTTATCTATACAAACATGGAAATGAAAAGCAGTAAGTCATTCTGTTTTAAYTTTAGACTTTGGCTGAGCAATTCTCATTTCAAATGGAAAAAATAGTATTTCACCATTTGATGGCATTATTTCCACTCTGATAGTCCCACTGCCTTGTCCAGTGCAACAGTGCTCTGTGCACTGACTCACTGCTTGTATTCCTCTCCCTTTAACAYAATATTTGCCATAGGTCTTATGATTACACTTGGCTTTGTTTTGAGATAAGAACTATTGACTGCTAATAAGTTTTAAGCTCCACATTAGAATTATTTGTAAATTTACTGAGAACAAATACTTCATTCAAAATCCATTTTAAACASTAAACATTGCAAGTTTTATGTAGATACCCTCTTTTATTAAAACAGACTGAAACTGCGCCATAATAAAATTAAAATCACAAGTAGAATACGAATACTCCAGTAACAAACATTGGGAAACCAACCTTAATTGCAGCTTCTCTCAAGGCCTCCAGTCTCTGTCTACTGCTTTCTTTCATATTTACAACATCTTTGTAATCACCCTGTAGAGCCCTCTGAAGGCCATGGATTGCCTGAAAGACCGAGTTTTCACTTTCATTTAGCTCCTTTTGGAAAATTTCAAAGGTGTGGACCTGAAAAAGTTTCTCTTCATCAGACAGTCCTGCATCCTTCTCAACTGCTCTTATGGCATTTTTTAGTTTGTTGAGAACAACATTCTTTTGGCGAAGAAGACCAGACAGTTTTCTGCAGCTCTCCAACACCCACTGCTTCCTTTGAGTGATAACAGCTCCTTTCCCACGGTGCAGCTTTATTGCATGCTTCACTACATCTTCATGCTCTGCAGGGTTTGCAAACTGGCCACAAGGCAGTGAAACCAACATCCACAGGGAAATAAATCCAGTTGCCTTCATTCTTCACTTTATATTGCTCTTGGGAGAAACTGGTAATCCACAGGTACTCAGAGCTTTCTGCTACATGGTTTCTGCATCTCCAGWATGCACACCAGGCTGCAAGACGGTACAATCAGTTATCAAAYRTGKTRATGTTGARCCATTAGATCAAAMAAATGTAGCAAATAAACCCAAGACWRCATCCTGYACCATGATCTCTAACAGAACACATACAGTTGTCTTGATGCAACATTTATGTCCAGATTATTGACAGATTTTTGGTTTTGCCTTCACAATTTCCTAGATAACATCTTGTTTTAAAAACAGTGACCAGAAAACTTAAGTCACTTCACGTGGTACCCATCTGCACTTCTCATATGAAAAAAAGACTTTAAAAATATCAGGCCATGATGTTAAAGGCTACATTTCAACCTAGTACTTGAGCCCATTTTTCTTAGCTATCAGTAAACCTCCTATTTCTTCTCAAACCTATCCTAAAACAATTATATCATAATCATTTGTTATTTACAAAGTGCCAGAAGCATTAACAAAGTCAACAACACATTGAACAAAACATAATTTTAAAAACGGGCTTAACTTATTCAGATCACATTATAAATCGCCAACTGCAAAAGAGAGAACAGCAAAATTTCCCAGACTTCCAGGTGCTACCAGTTTGGATAAAAGACCTTCTTCACCTGAAAGCTGCAGGACCTTGAGGTACTTTACTTCAAGGCCTATAATTGATCTTCAAGATTTTAAASTAAATTATAAAAACACCAAATCCATTCATTCATAAGTTCATTTCYCAGCAGCTACTTGAAGATCTATATTTAAACTGCTGTATTTAATTTTAACACCAAGCAGGAGAGAATTTAAAAACTAATTTCCTTCCCTCAGACCCTAGGAAAAATACTGACATTATTATAAAATAACCAAGTTACATTTTCTTTTTTAAAAATCTAAACAAACATAAAAACCCTCAAAAAATTCTCATACACAAAGCTATACATAAACAATACATAAAGCTTTATACATGGCATWCTAAAAATGCACAACACAAAAAACAAGCTAGTAGATTATCAATACAGCAGGTTATTTCCCTAAAACTTCATTGGGCCAGCAGCCTATATCTGGAACCAACACACTGACATGGTCATCTGGAAGCAGTTTGCCTAAGAGAGAATCTTCTTTTCCTACAATGCAGTAGCAGTCACAATCCCAAGTATCAAGCCAGCCATCATCAATAAATAGAATGAACTCTGAGCWACCTGGTGTAGTGGGAGATGTYCGTGCCCACGACAGAGGAGCTGGAGCCAGAGGGTCTTTAAAGCCCCTTCCAGCCCAGGCCATTCTATGATTCCATGGGAAGGGAACATGGCAAGAACAGTCATGCACTACCTTTCTTTTTTTAAACATCCTCCCATCTCTGTTTCAGAGAGAAATGAGAAATCTGTCTATGGGTTGGTTTATTTCTTTTTCAAAGCATGAAATGCAGGCTAAAGAATTTAATTACTAATAGTTGACTACGGCTAGTAGGTGACACCACGGAGAGCTAAAACATTCAAACTTAAGAACTGAAAGTGCAATCAAAGTAGCAAAAGCATGAATCTAAYATCAATAAAATAATAAAGGAGAATAATTTCAGAATTTTGATAAAGCTGTGAGTTTACTATTTTTAAGGAACCGGGAAAATAACAATCCCCATCACCTGGCCATGTTCTAGAGTGAAATTTAAGGGAATACTTCTTCATATATACAAACTAACCCTTTCCTGTTTACTAGGTTTGGCGCGGAGATTTTGCTAAGTATATATTACAACCTATTCCTGCAAGAAGGAAGGAGAAGAAAACACTCAGTGTATATCCAAGTTTCTGTTTGCAGAGAGGTGAGTAAAAGACTCTACTGCATGTCTTACRTGGTAAATCAAACCACATAACTAAATTTTGAGCAGAGATTTATACCAGCAAAGTTCACTCACTGTTGTGCTGTGCAAACTTAGCACTCTGATTCAGACATGGGACAATTTTGTTTCAGTGCTTTTTACTTGGCTGGTAACAAGTTTAGAGGAGCGACACCCAGGGCAGTGCTCAAAAGCGCTTAAGGAAATAAAGACCTCACGTACCAAAATAAATGATGTGATGCTGAGTGGAAAAAAAAAAAAAAAAAAAAAGGTAAAAAACCTAACACTCTTCTCCATTTACCACCAGTAAGTGGTGATTGGTATCAAATCAGAAGGAACTACCGTCGTTTGGAGTCCTTATTTAAGCAGTTTTTGCTTCCTGCTGTATTGCAGCTCATCTTCCCCCTTTTTCCTTCCTGAACACAACACTGTAGTATTAGATTTCAYCAAGCTGATAATACTGGACCGTGCCTCCAGACCCCTCTAGCGGGTCCTTCCGCACCTGGTGGTTCGCTTCCACTCGCCCCTTTTCCCAAGCCCACCCCCTCCCGGGAGCCCCGGCGCGGTCCCACCTGGGCRCGATGGCAGCTCCCGGCGCCACTCCCTGCGGAAGGCCGGGAGGACGGCGGGGCTCAAGGGGAGAACAGAAGGAGATGAGCGAAGCGCGGGGGCGACCGGCCCGGCTCCCTCTCCCTCATGGCGGCGGAGGGACGGGGGGAAGAGGCGGCCGCGCCGCCCGGCGCTCTCGGCAGCGACGCTCACCTGAGGGACGGAGAAAGGCCGGCAGCGGCCGGGCGGGAAGGGCGGGATCGCAGGGCGGCGAGCACAGGCGGCGAGGGGGCGGCGGCGGCTGCCAGAGGGCACCGAGCAGCCCCGTCCTTGCGGCCGCCCCTCGCCCCGCGCCGGTGCCCGAGCGCCGGGGCGGCGCCTTGGAGCGCAGCCGGGCGGGACCCGCGCTCCGAGCGCCGCCTCGCGGCGGGAAACGTCACGGCGGCTTCTCGCCGCACGCCGGGAGTTGTAGTCGGAACCGCGGTCCCGGAGCTGCCCCAGCGCCCCGGACGCCGCCGCTCCCCCCGGCAGCGCTGCGGGCTCCGCACCGCGACCCCGCGCCCCGCCTCTGCGGCCCGTGCCCGGAGCGCTCCCCGGCGGGAGGCGGTGCGGGCGGGCCGGTGCGCGCCTGCGCGGGAGGCGGCGCCGGGCGGTGAAGTTGGTGGGAGCGCCGGTGATAAAATGGTAGGTTGTGCGAGCCGGGGGGGAGGGGAGGCGGCGAAACCGGGAAGGGGGAGCCTCAACAACCCCCGGCCTGGCGAACCGAGCGCCCCCGCACCTTCCGCCTCTCCCCTCCCGCAGAGCCGGGTCCCGTTGCCCTGCCCGGGGAGGGAGGGACGGCGCCAGGCGGGGGGAACGCGCGGCGCGGGGACACGGGGACGCGCACCCCCCGTGTGGAGTCGCTCTCCCGCCGCCTCCTCCGCCGGGCCGGCAGCGGGGAAGGTCACCGGGGGCGGCGGGGGAAGGGAAGGGGCCGGGCACCGCCGCGGGTATTTCGAGCGCAGGCAGCCGGCGCAGCGCGTACCTTTCCCTTTTTTGGGATTCGGGCTGGCGGGGCAGGTCGCCGGAGCTGCGAGTCCCCCGCTCCCACCGGCCTCTTSCCGCCGCGGGACGCGGCAGGTGCAGCCTCAGGAGGTGGGAAAGGTGCGCTACAAATTCCCTTGCCGGGTCGGAGTGGCGGGGTCGGCCGGGGCTATTTTGGGAAGGAAGGGTTCTCCCAGTGCCTCTGCAGCAGCCTCAGCGCTTCCCTGGGGTGTGCGGTGCGGTGACATTAGCGCTGGGAGAGTGCTCAGGAACGGCTGAGCTGTGCCTGGGTGCGAGGTGCGCATCCTTGTTCGGGGGCCATCAGCGAGGAGCCGTGCTGGCCGCAGGAGGTGCAGCCTTGYCCCGGCCCCCAGGGAAGGTGCGCGGGTGCCGCTGCCCGCTGCGCTGGCACTGCCCGCGGGTGAGCGCTAGGAACCGTGCTACGTGGCAGGGGAGCGGGCTGGAGAGTCGAGCGTGTCTCTTATCGCTTCAAATAATTCGGTGTTTCGTTCCGCTAGAAATAGCTAGAAAATATCCCTAAATGCCTGGCGTTTACTAGGCTTGAAAGAGGACATGGGTTTTACTTTGGTGTTGTTGGCAGAGTCCTCTGTTTTGAAGTGATTATCGCTAAGTTTGTTGCCCAAAAGAAGTTTATATAACTGAGGAAGATCTAGGTGCAGAGACTAGCTAAACCTTCATGGAAATTTGGAGGCAGGGTGGAGCTTGCAGCCAAAGGATGATTGGTTATTTACTTACCAAAGTATGCTGTAGTTATTTTTTGCACCTTTTCCCTTCTAGTCTACACATTCGTTGTATTTAAAAAAACCTGCATGTTTCTTCTTCTATTAAATTGAAAAATCTTGTAGGAAAGACCAAAATCCTTATCTTGTTTACATGATGTGGTTCTTGTCTTAGGATTATCTATAGTCGAGGTGTCAGTGTCCATATGGGTACAAGAGATAAACAGTGAACCCAAAGATGGTCCCATGTTTGCTGCTCACTGAGTGAAGATTCAGTTCTCTTTTAAGAGACCAGKACCTTTTCCATTATACCTGATGATCTAAACTGTAGCGGGGAATTTCTCTCTTAATTGTTGACCCAGAGCAGGTGTTAAGTATGGTTTAACAAAATTGGAATATAATAAAAATGGAGTTTGAGTTAAGCTGTCTCCCTCTTCCATCTTCATGTAAAGAATAATGTTGAAATATGTTACTAGCAAATTTTCTCCCTATCAAATGCCCATTGCTACCTCTTGGGTGTTCCAGAAGATTAAGGATATTGTGCCAATATGGTTACTGCAATAGAGAGAATCCTATCACTTCCTATATACTACTGTAACAGGTTTTTATGTTGTTTAATGTATTAACAGTATAAACATTTTTCAGAGATTAATTAAAGTTTTAGATCATATTTACAGCAATCTTGTAGTCCCATTGTAACATTCAGCAGTCTCTGATATGTCCACTTCATCTATTTTGTTTTTGTCTTACATCTTCTCTTGGCCATGTTTTATAACATAATTGTGTGAGAAATTATTCTGCCTTTTTCAGCTGATGACTTAAAATAATTAAACTTTGCATTGTTAATTGTTGCTAAGAAAATATTAGGAAAACTTGAGTATTTTTTTCTCCGTGTATGAAGAACTTATACAGAATTTGAGAATCTATAAGTTGCACCTTTTTAATTTTTGTTTTTTATAATCACTAGGCATATCTTTCAGAAGATAACCATATTGTAATATGATGAAACTTGTGTTTACTGCTGTTACAGAACAGAAAAAACGTCAGCATATGTGAGCAATAAAGCAGAAATACAAGTTTGTTACTGACAGAATATGTGCTGCTAAAAATGTACATATAGATGCTGTCATTTCAATTTTCAGAAGAAAATGCTGTCTATTTAACTGCAGAAGAACAAGGCTTTGTCTTCCTGTAATTCTGAAGTGAAAGTTGTCATCAACAAGAAAACTAAAACCTTTAAAAGATAGGCATTAGTAGTAGAATGCTGAAACAAACTTCTGGATTAGCTTCATTGGCTTTCCTGCTTCTTTTGCATCCCAAAGCATAAGCTTAAATCGTCCCAGAAGGACAAGGTCCGCCAGTTTATGGCATTTACCCAGGCTGGTGAAAGGACTGCTATATACTGCTTAACACAGAATGAATGGAAACTAGAAGTGGCAACAGACAACTACTTCCAGAATCCAGACTTGTACTGCAAAGAATCCATGAAAAATTCAGTAGACAAGAAGAAATTAGAACAATTGTATAATCGATACAAAGGTAAGGTCTGGTTTTTTGGGTTTTGTTGGTTGGTTGGCTTGTTTTTTTTGTTTTTTGGGGTTTTTTCTTTGTTTTTGTGTATTTTATTTCTTTTAAAAATTACATTGTTTGGGGGTTTTCTACTTTTCTCTCTACCATTTTTAAGAAGTTTTAAATAAAGCTCGCTAGCTTTTGCTTCTCATTATCTGTTTGCAGTAATAAGGTGAGAATGAAAAAAGATTTTAAATGCTCTTAATGATCTGTACACAACTTCTGTAGAGATTTCTGTAGACTTTAAAAGTAGGATATTAAACCCATAGTGAGGAAAAAGTGTCATCTGTCAAACAGGGCAGTAAAGTTTATTATTCAACTTCTGTGATTTATTGCCAATGGCTGCTATTAAATATGTGTATGATATTCCATGGCAAAAAAATACTGTTATTATGCTAACATTTGTGGGAATTAATTCTGTTCAGACAGTAGTGTTTCTATATATTTCAAAAACTTTTCAGATAACATTACATCTAGGAGTGTGACAAAACAGCCAAATAAGAAAACTCAAAACTACATCCTTATTTCATTCCTTCATGCTGGCATATTACAGCAAAGGTGATGTGCCTGTTCAGAGAGGCTTGGAGGAGCAACCACAGGAAAGTGGATTAAAGGCAGTTACATATTTTCCAAATTTCATTTTACAGCATTTTTACAAAGAGCAGGAAAAAAAGAAAAAATATAGGCATGTAAGAATARGAATGTACATGATCCAGGTGATAGTGTTTGCTGGACTGCGGCCATCTGACATGAGTGTGTGCATTGTTCATTACATGCTGAAGCAGTGCAGGCTGGAATCATTGCTAGCTCCTGTTGAAATCCATACATCATGTTTTAAAACATGAACTCTTAACCACTACTCAGCTATGATTTTATGCACTTTTCTACTAGAAATATATGGCATGCATTGTATACACTTTATCCTGTTTTTATGATGATGTTTCCACCATTTTTGTTCCTCTTTATGTAATCTGTTCTATTTTAGTATAGKGGCTCTTTAATACTTTGTTATTATGTGGTAATGAATTGTGTAGGGACAAAGAGATAGCAATGCTATAGCATTTTCTTCAGGAAAACAAAAACAGACAAAACTCAAGAGAACCATGTTTTGGTTTGTGTATGCATATGTGTATGTTTACATATATGCATATGTGAGTGTGTACATATATATGTATATATAGCATATACATGTAACTGAATCTTTTGTCTGCTCCTTAAATGTCAGTCTTGGAGATTACTGGGTCAAAAATACACATTCAAATTTATRAATGCTGTTAAGAATATCTAAAATGGAAAAAAATTGTCACAAATGTTATTTGTGATTCATAATTTCTAGCACCATCTGACTTTTGTGAAAGGAAGTCTAGCCAGATTATGTCTGTTTTAGTTACCACCACATCTTTGCAGTTCTAGCACTTAAACACTGAAGTAATRTTGTAAACTTCAAAGACTTCCACAAGATTTGACAAAGAGCATAAAAGTTTTTGTTAAGTACCTTTCCTTTTTTCCTATCTGGCTTAAACCTGGGTCATGGGCCCCACAACAGTAAGGAATTCCTTTGTTCTACAAGGCCTATGGAATATTGCACTATACTTGAAATCTGAGATGAAATGTCTTTTTCTGGCTGTGTTTYTGTTAGTTTTTCTACCTGTTTATCCAGATACTCTGTCTAAACAATAATTGCATTTTTGTTCCCAGTTGCCTAGATGGTGTGAAATACGATAGGGATGAAAAGTCCTTGTTGAAATCCATTAGAATTTTTCCACTGGTTTCAAGCCAGTGCACATCTTGCCTTTAGTTTTTCAATTATTCTCCAAATGCACAGGGACTGTTTTTTTACATATCTTAGAACTAGTTGAATAGATATGTTTACTTGTTATTTGGGATCAAAGGTCCCTGAATTATACAGTGGGTGTAATTCTTTGTTTAATGGATATGAGTCCATTTGCCAAATGAACTTCCTCTCTGGAATTTACCACTTCTTTCACTGTAGTATTGGCTGGAAAAGTAGAAGAGATTTTAGCTTAAGAATTAAAATAAAAACGTTTTATCTAGGCTTGATGGCTTTTTTGTTGGTTTTTTTTTTTTTTTTTTTTTTTTTTTTTTTTTTTTTTTTTTTTTTTTTTTAGTAAACTCATTTGATCAGGACTTAAAAATAGCATGGTTGAAAATGATAGCAATTTAAGAGGTTAGTCTTAAATCTACTCAAGGGACGTTTTTCTACATAGCCCAAC